TTATCATAAGGTCACTGAAGCTTTGTCCAGATTTTTAGTCTTCCTCCGCTCTGTTCTGTATTGATAATTTCTATTGACCTAGATCTTCAAGTTCACTAATGTTATATTCAGTAGTTTCCAATGCACTGTTATGCTCATCCAGTGAAGTTTCCATTTTGAAATTGACACTAATTTCTTTTTAGTTCTAGAATTTTTGATTGGTTATTTTTCATAGTTTTCATTTTTCTGCAGTGATTTCCCCCATCTGTTCACTCATTGTGTCCATCTTTGTGCTTATAATGTTTAAACATACTTATAATTGTTTTAAGGTGCTTAACTGCCAATTCCAACATCTGCATCACCCTTGAGTTAGTTTCTATAAACTTCCCCTTTCAGGTTATGTGTCATGCTTTCCTGCTTCTTCACATGTCTAATAATTTATGATGGTTTATTGGACATGATACACTCTATGATAGTCTAGATTTGTTGTTTTCTTTTAAAATGCATTGAATTTTGGGGCACTTGGGTGGCTCATTTGGTTAAGCATCTGCTTTTGGCTCAGGTCATGATCCCAGGGTCCTAGTATTGAGCCCTGCATTGGCGGGGGGTGGGGGGTGGTCCCTGCTCAGCAGGGAGTCTGCTTCTCCCTCTCCCTCTGTGTGTTCTTTCTCTCAAATAAGTACATACAATCTTGAAAAAAAATGTATTGAATTTTTTTCTGGAAGGCAGTTACTTTCCTGTTGGATTATATTAAAGCTTAGTTTGAGTTTTTGTTACAGTGAGTTTGGCAGAGCCTTTACTCTTAAGATAGAGGAGCTACTTTTTCTAAGAGTGGTTTTTCTGGAGTCTCAGCTGAATGCTCGAGATATTCAGTAAGCTCTCTCCAGTCTGGTTGGTTAGAACTTCAATTCTCCCAGCACTGTGCAATCTCCAGAATCTCTCTGTTGAGCTCACATACTCCCAGAACTGTTGTCTGGTATACTTCACAGAATATCATCCGTGTGTGTATGACAATATTTAGCAGAAGACTCAGGGAAACCCCTATGCAGATTAATGAAACTTCTCTTCACAGTTACCTCCTCTCTGTTACTTTTCAGTGTAAATGCTAGTTGCCTTGGTAGCCCAGTACTGAAACCTGTTGAATTCATACAAAGAGACTATTGCTTTCTATTTGGGTCTACTTCATTTTGCCTTGGTTTGGGAGGTACTCCCAGCAGAATACTGGGATGAACATGGAGCTCAGTTTGTCTATTTCCTCTCTCTCAAGGACCTTGTGCTATTGTCCAATGCCTTAAAAAGTTGCTTCACATATTTTCTTTAGTGTTATAGCTGTTTAAGGTTATAGTGAAGTCCAAAACTTATTATTCAATTGTGGTCAAATGGAAGGCTGTCTCCTATATTCATATTTCTAAATAACATGGGTATACTTGATTCATCAATTCTAGATATAAACCACTGGCTTCCTTTTATGGACTAATAGTTCATTTAAATTCCTCTCTCCTTTTCTTATTCTTCGAATATAATTCTATTCTAACTCCGATTACATTCATATTCAGATTTTAATTATTATAGATTTGTAAATCTTATTCATGGTTATACCAAATTCTGCGCTCTGATCACATTTCCTTCTCTGTTCGAAATTTATTTTTCCTGGAGATAATAATGATTGACTTATTTTATCTACTAGGTTTTCTTTAAATGGCTAAGTTTCCCTCGTCCATCAATAGCTCCTTTACTTTTAAGTATAAGTGCCTCTCAACATTTTCCACTGGAGTCTTTGACTTTCTGCTTCAATCAGAAATGGTTGCTCTGTTAACCTGCGGTTATAGAGCTGATGTCATGTAACTCCCCTTTGCTGTCATGCTAAGAATTTCATTCCTTCTCTTTTGTGCTGCATTTTCTGCTTGCTGGATCCAGGTTTTACTCTCTTTTGACTTACTTCATTTTTGTGGAACATATTCTCTATTACCTTCCTGAGAAAAAGTGTGGAAGGAGTACATTTTCCCTTCTCTTTAAACATCTAAAATATGTTTTTGTTGTACTCTCACACTTGATTGCTATTTGACTGGGTATAAAATTCCAAGTAGAAAATAATTTATATGTAGAATTTTGAGGCTCTTATCTCATTATCTTCTAGCATCCAATGATGGTGTTGAAAAGTTTGATTCCATCTCACACATGACCCCTTAAGTATGACCTATAATTCCTTTATGGAAGCTTTCAGAATCTTCTTTCCATTTATTTGTGAAATTTAGTGATGTGTCTTGTCCTAATACTTTGTGCTCAGATCCATAGACTTAGTTTGCCTTCAGGTCTTTCTTTCTTTCTTTCTTTCTTAGCTCTATGCCCAACATGGGGCTTGAACTCATGACCCTGAGATCAAGAGTTGAATGTTCTACCAACTGAACCAGCCAGGTACCCCTTAAGTTTTCTTATATTACTATTTTTTTTTTTTATAATTTCCTGTATTAGTTTGCTAGGGCTGCAGTAAGAAATACCACAGGCTGGATGGCTTAAACAATAAAAATTTATTTTCTCATAGTTCTAGGGGCTAGAAGTTCAAGATCAAAGTCACTGATAAGTCTGGTTTCTTCTGAGGCCTCTCTGTTTTTTTTTTTTTTTCTTTAAAGATTTTATTTATTTATTTGATAGATCACAAGCAGGCAGAGAGGCAGGCAGAGAGAGAGGAGGAAGCAGGATCCCTGCCGAGCAGAGAGCCCGATGCGGGGCTCGATTCCAGGACTCCGAGATCATGACCCCAGCCGAAGGCAGCGGCTCAACCCACTGAGCCACCCAGGCGCCCCTGAGGCCTCTCTCTTTGAATTGCAGATGGCTGCCTTCTCCCAGTGTCCTCACATGGTCTTTCCTCTGTCCATGTGCATCCTTGCTGTCTCTTCTTTTTCTTATAAGAACATCAGTCATATTGGCCCCACCCTAATGGCCTCATTTTGAAATACTGGGGGTTGGGACTTCAACATATGGATTCTGAGAGGGCACGATTCAGCCCATAACACTTCCACTTTCTTCTTTATGTATTTCTGGAATTCATTGTATTTGGAAATAGAACTTCCAGGATAGATGCTCTTCTGTTTGAATTCTCCAGAGAATGACTCTCTAGTTCCATTATGGAGTCATACAGGGTAGAGGAATGGCAATGGTGAGAAGTAGTTGCCTGGCTGCAGTGCAGAGATGAGGAAGTGACTGCTTCTCACATGGACTTCCAAGGAATCCCTCTGTTTTCAGTACTGCTCTTTTATCCCTATCCTCTGTATTAACTGCTGTTCCATCAGTTTTGTGCTTCTTATATTTTTGTTTGAAGTTAAACATCTTTTACTTGCATCGGATTTCTAATTTTGTGTTCTTATCTTGTTTTCAGTGTTTTTGGATTAAAAAAATGTGTTGAAAAGAGAAACAAAAGGAAATGTCTTTACTTCTCAGTTTTTATTGTTCATGAAAGACCTCTTTTTTCGCATTGGTGCGGCACCATGACAGAGACAAAAAGAAGAAAAAAACAAGTAAGTATCTAATGATAGAAATAAACACAATGGACCAAATGAACATGATGCTGTGGAAGAGAGTCAAAGGGAGGAGTTGGGGAGGTATTTAGAGAGGGTGACCAGGGAAGCCTTTTCTGAAGAAATGCCATTGATGCTAAGACTTGAAAAGGAGTTGGGCCTTTGAAGAGGAGGAGAGGTTGTTTGAAGAACTGAAAGGAAGCCAGTGAAGCTGGAGTGTGGTAGACAAGGAGGAGCACGTCTCTGGGTGAGATTGTACAGGTGGGTAAGGGCCAGTCATACAGGGTTATTTAAGGCAGCTAAGAACTGGAGATTTTATCTGAAGTGCAGTGGAAAGCCATTGAGGGTTGGGGGAGGGGGACTCTAGCAGGAAAGTGATGTAGTTTCTGGTAGTCATAGCTTTTAAAATATCACTGTACACACTGCATGTACAACAGATTACGGGTACAGGTAGGAGTCGAAGTGGGGGGCAGTCAGCGGGCTAGTGCTGCCGTCCATGTGGAGGATCATGGAAGCCTTGACCGGAGGTGGGGGCAGCAGTGGAGATGGAAAGAAGTGAATGGAGTCAGGGTTTATTCTGGAGGTATACCAGACAAGTTTGGTGAAGGACTGGATGTGAGAATGGGGGCACCTGGGTGGCTCAGTCCGTGCAGCATCTGCCTTCAGCTCAGGTTGTGATCCCAGGATTGAGCCCAATGCCTGGCTCCCTGCTCAGCAGGCAAGCCTAATTCTCCCTCTCCCTCTGCCCTTGCTTGTGCTCTCTCTCTCTCTCACTCACTCTCTCTCAAATAAAAAATAAAATCTTAAAAAAAAAAAAAGACTGGATGTGAGGAAAGAGGGAGGATGCTGGAATTTACAGACTGTATTCTTGGGTGTGTATAGTCTCCTCCTGCCCCACAACTTACATCTGAGATATCGGTTCCTTTGTCTCATCCTCTGAAATGTCTGTCCTCAGATACATCCACAGGCATCTGTGCTGAGGGAGCGAGAGGACGCTGATGCGCTTGGACAGGAAATGGGCCTGCAGTTCTAGCGGGGCAGGAGTTGCTCCCAGTTTGTGGGGGGGCGTGTGGGGAAGATGGTACTGACTGAATTGACGATGATGGTGATGATGGCAGCTAGCATTCATTGAGTGCTTACTATGTGCCTGGCACAAACACCCTGTGAGAAGTCGAGTAACTTGTATTCAAGTCACACAGGTAGTGGTGGACAAGGCTGGATGTGCGCCCAGACAGCCCGGCTCTGGCACCTACTGTCTCTCTCATTCTGCTCTTTCAATCAGCTCTGACTGTAGGCAGATGAATCTTGCCAGAAATTGCCAACTAAGCCTTTTGGGGTATGGAACAGGCAAGATCAAGTTCAAATGGACTCAGTATTAGAGGCGGAGCTTAGAATTTTAGAACCAGAATTACAAACAACTAACCAACCAACAACCACAAAAGCCAGAAACATCAGAAAAGGTCCTACCCTGGTCAGCCTCAGAGGAGAGGACACTGTGGAAAGCCGAAGTTCCCACCAGCTCTTCCTGAGTTAGGCAAGTCGCGCCCTTCCTCATCTCAGGTAACGTGGGATGGTTCACTCCTCCTGTCTGGGGATAGGGCCGAGTCAGTTAGGAGCTAATTATTAACCAGCAAGATTTCTGCCCCTCCTGGGCCTCAGCTCCCACCCCAGCTCAGACACAGGACAGTCTGGGACACCACCAACCTTGGAGATGGAGAGGCTGTACGTTTTTAATTAGAGGGAGATACCCTTATCTCTGGCCGGCCCTTTTCTCCATTAATTTACACCTTCTCTTATCTTTGCCATCTATTGTCTCTGCAATGACGGTCTTTCCCTAAGCGCTTCTGCGCTGTCACTGTGCGTTTGAGCCGAGGCACGCCTGTCCCTGGGCTGACCCCTGGGGGAGCCTCATTTGTCTCCCTGCCAGCACTCCCTCCTCCTGACCCTGTCCAGGCTCTCTTTGATCTGCCCCTTGCTCCCCTCTGCCTTTACCTACAGTTGTCCTTTCTCTTTTTCAGGCAAGGTCCCTGCCCATTCCAGGAATTCTCCTGACTCCAGGAGACAGTGTTTCTGGGAGCAGGGCTCTTTTGTCAGTCCAGAAGGACTGGAAGGCAGGAGGGGAAGTAGCCGTTTGTATAGCCTGAAGAATGGGTTTTAAGAACACCTGGGGGCGGGACCTCTGGGTTCCTGATCAAAGGAAAAGGGGGTTGGTGGGAGCAGGGGGGCAGGAAGAGGGCCAGCTTGGACACACTCCTTTCCCAGGCAGGCAGGCTTGGGGCATCTAGTGTGTGCAGGTGCGGCCTGATGTGGCTGAGAACAGAGCTGGTCTGCCGGTGGGCCGACCCCTCCCTGACCCTGCACACTGAGAAGTGCTGAGACAGAAGAAAGAACTTGGCCTTGGCTGCCTGGGCACCCAGATGTTGACCCCTAGTTGGGGGGGAGGTGCTGGCCTATGAAGGGCTCCTCCCTCCAGATGCCCAGCTCTCTGATTTGGCTTTGCTTGGGCCTGAACTAGGCCCCAAGCCTTCCTGCTAACCTGCCCCATTTCCGGCCTGCTTTGAAGGACAACTGTTGAGACCTGTAGGGATTTCCATGCCTCCCTTTTTCTCCAGTTGTCTCTTTAGCCAGGAATTTCTCCCTGAAATGCCAGTGCTGGGCCGGCCCTGGGCATTCTGCCACATACAGCAAACAGAAAAAGAAAATGTGTCCTGACTGTCGCCACCAGTGTTTGCTGTGGCCTGCGGGGGAGGGGCCAGTGGTGGGTGGAGCACACCTGGTGGAAGGAGGGAACCATCCACTACCCTGGGTGGGGATGGTTAGGGCCCTTTGCTGGCCACGTGAAGAAAGTCAAGCACCATCAAGTCCCCTGACGACCCCTGGGCAGCTCTCTAGACAGCATTACAGTGTTCGTTTTCAGGTCAAAAGCTTGAAAGTCAAAAGCCAAAAACCAAACTCTGAACTCTAAAAGGACACACACAACTATTACCTAGAGGAGGCCGCTGTGACGAGAGGGGAGGGGGACAGAGTGGGTGGGGGAGACCAGGGTGAGGGAGGTGCAGGCCTTCCAAAGGTCTTTGGTGGTTGTTTGGCCTTAGCTGGGGCCATTGGAAGGTTTCGAGCAGAGGGGTGACACGGTCTGTCTTAACTTGTGGCAGAAGTGCTCTGGCTACCGTCTGGAGACTAAAATGAGGGAGGGGTCATGGCTGGGAGCAGAGAGCCCCCGGGGAGGAAGTTGCCATAACCTGGAGGGTGAGGAAGGCTGGGATCAGGTGGTGAGCAGGGGCATGGTGAGAAGGGATCAGATTCTGGATATGTTTTGAGGGGTAGGGTTGACAGGATTTTCTGACAGGTTGGCCGTGAAAGAGAAAAGTCAGGAATGACTTTAAGGGCTTGACCTGAGAAACTGGAAGAATAGAATGGCCATCTGCTGGACAGGTGAAGAGATATGGTCATCAAGTCTGCAAACCCTTCTGAGTCTATAGCAGCTATTTATGTGAAGGAATGGGAGGGAAGAAAGCTGCCTTTGGCACCTGGCATGGGGCCTCCCACGTCAGCAAGCAGTGTGGGAGCAATGGAAAAACATGGAAAAGAACAGAAAAGGAGAACAAATATTTGCCTAATGGTATCTGAGTAGATCTTGGGCTTCTGAGGGCCAAGTGGTCCTACAGCCTGGGACAATGGGTCAAGGAAATGTTGGGGTCAGCATGCACATCCATGATTCCTACAGATTCTCCCTTTTGTGCTTGGTGTTCCTAACTTCATTTTAAAAGTTGTAAAGCTGCCATCATAATGCCTCCTAATGAAAGCACATGTCAGAGATGTATAAAGATAAATAAGGTGCTCAATATGAATGTCTCTGGACAAATTCTAGGATTAGTGCTGTATAAAAGCAAGGTGTTGTTCCCGAAAAACAAAACAAAACACCGTAGTTAGCCAGCTTCACTTTGCCAGCAATCTTAGGTATTTCAACTATGCCACGGACAAAAATGACAGAAAGGAAAGGACATCTGTGAAGGCTCAGGGACTTTACAAATTGGAGAACGTCACAGATCCTCCCTCGGAGTCTAGGAACTCTTAGTTTAGAAATATTTATAACTGGTTTTAATTGGCTCGTAGACCAGGCCACAGCAGGAGTCAGGACAGCAGAGGGGTAGACAGCATGAGCTCTGAATTTGGTCAGTGTAACTTCCCCTCTTGCCTCCAGCTGTGTGAAGAAGGGCACGTTCATTTATCTCTCGAAGCCTGTGTCCTCATCTGTTAAAGCAGGATAAAAATAGTATCTGCTTCATAGGGGTCTTACAAGGATTAAATGGAGACATATTCCTGAAGGGCTTAGCACAGTGCCAGGTAACATGGTCGCTGCCTAATAAATAGTTATTCGTGTTAGCATGCTTGTCATCATTATCAGTATCAGCCACAAAGTGGGTGTGAGAAATTTGGAAAGCCAAAAGCAATTTTTTAAAAATTCACAGCTTCACATTGGGGGAAAGAGGAAAACAATTATAAAAAACACAAGCTTAAATTTAAAAAATAATAAATTCTCTGTCAGTGTAAAGGAAAACAGCTCAGAGCACTTCAACAGCACTTGGAAGACTTGTATTGTACGATGTGGGAGTGCTCTCATTATATAATGAATGAGACCCTGAGTCATGGAAAGAATGTTCAGCATGCTCTATTCTCGAAGGCAGAGAAGAGACAGCGCACTCTAGTTTAGAAGGCACATTTCAGCTAAAACAAAGGTTTTGTGCAGGCACTTGTGTGGAACAGATTTTAAACTAATAAAGCCAAATCACTGAAATGCCCCTGTTTGAAAAGCGCCAGGGATTTACCCCAACATCGACTTGGAAAGTCGTCTACATATGGGATGGATTGTTTTTAGAGAAATACAACTAGAGCACATCATACGATCTCCTTACCTACAAGCCGATGAAGTTGTCTCATGTTTTAAATATGTCAGCGGGTTTCCAGTGAGATGCATAGAATAAACAGAAGTATGTGGTGAATAAACTTCCCAGGGTGTAAGAGACGGAACTGGTTAGAGGCCATGGCTGTTCAAGCATATTAACAACACACACACACACATACACACACACACAGTCACAGTCACAGTGACACTCACCCCCTATCACATGACATTTATCTCAGGAAAACATATTTTCAAACCACAAATCAGTACCTACAAGATGAGAAAGGTGGACGTTCTTCAGGGCGTGATCGATGGAATATTTACAATATAGAACCCCCTTGGGACCCCCAAGCTTCTCCATGTCCTTGCCTGGTGTGGCTCCTTCTCATCTTCTGAGCAGACTTCCCAGGGCCGAGTGGTCCCTCCAGTTTCAGTTCTTGGGCTCATTTCTCACTTTAGTCTATTCCAGTAATTTCCTTTCGATCCCTAGGCAGGTCTTCCCTTGGGGCTCTGTCAACCCAAACAATCACAGGTGGATTCGTTGGTGGGTGCTGGGGACAAATAGCATCACTTCTCTTAGAAACCCCAGCTTCTACCTTTGAATCCTAGCATTAATAGGCGCTCAATAAATGTTTGTCTAATGGGATTGAATTAGCACAGCTGAGAATTAGCAGCTCCCTCATTTCCTCAGCCCACTGGGTTAACACTTTCTGGAGTGTCTGTACCCAGACAGCTGGCCTGGGCCAGCCAAGGGCCTCATCCCCCGGCCCTGGAGGAGCCAGGCTGGCTGCCTCGACCCTCCAGTGGGTGCCCCCCACCCCAACTTGAAGGCTGCAGGTCTGGCCATGTACATGTGGATTGCCCTGAAGCAGCACTTTCCCAAGGCTTGGCTGTGCTAATTATTCCTTCCCCTCCTGGTGTGAAAACCTTGGACTAGAAAATGAAATCAAGGGAGGGGGTGTGGAAAAGCAGAGGGGAAGGAAAGCAGTTAATAAGCAGAACAAGGTCACCCATCTGCTGCGGCTGTCCATACTCCTTATCTGTGACGCCACCAGCCCCAAGGTCACCTCTTTTCATTAAAACAGAGAATTCCCTAAAATGATAAAATTAACTAAATTCCAGCCTTCTGTCTTAGACACAACAGAGCCCGTCTTGATATGGAGGTTGCCCTGATGGGTTGAGGCTTCCCTCCCCCTCTGTAGCCCTCAGGTAGGAGAAGGAAACCCAGTGCTGGCAGGGAGGCTAGTGGGACAGGCTGGCACTGGGTCTCCATGTCAGAGCAGGACTGGTGGCTGTTCTCCAGTCTGGGGCCTGTCTGTGAGGTTCCGTTTGCTGGGCAGGTGAGAGACGAGCCTACCGCCTCCTGCTCTCTGACAGGGCTGTGACAATACGGCCTCATTCCACATCTCTGCAGGGGGGAGGTTCCTCCAAGACAGGAAGACGGAGTGCCTTGAAGGCTTCAACGATGCTCGGGTACAGTGGCGTACGGCATAGTCTGTGTGTCCAGAGGAGACACCGAGAAATGCCTGGGCAGGCTCCACCGTGACAGAGTGTGGGGATGGAAGGGTAAGGTCCGGTAGCATCCAGGAGTTGTCTGATCCTGGGCAAATCGGGGAGTCTCAATTTCTTCAACTGCAGCATAGGAATAGTGACC